GGTACCTTCCCCTCTTTCATACATTTATTAAACAAAAGTACCAACCACTCCAACACTATATCCCCCCTGCTTTTACATTTCTGTCATGATCCCATCAGTTCCAGCTGCTTTACCCCCTTTCATTTTACGTAATGCCTCACGTACCTCCCACACTTACATTCTGCTCTTCTTCACTCCTAAAGATGGTATACCTCCCTGACCAGTGCATGAAATTACTGCCTCTGTTTCTTCCTTAAAAATTTAAAGTTCCTCAAAATATTCTCGCCATCTACCAATACCTCCATCTCCCCATCTACTAACTCCCCTACTCTGTTTTTAACTGGGCAAATCCAATTTTCCCTAGGCTTTCTTAACTTGTTTAACTCGCTCCCAAAATTTTTTCTTATTTTCATTAAAATTTCTTTTACAGTGCCTCTCCCACTTATCATCTGCTCTCCTTTTGCACTCTCTCACCACTCTCTTTAAACCCTTTTTTTTACTCTCCATATACTCTGCTCTTCTTATAACACTTCTGCTTTGTAAAAACCTCTCATAAGCTACCTTTTTCTCTTTTATCACACCCTTTACTTCATCATTCCACCAATCACTCCCCTTTCCTCCTGCCCCACCCTCCTATAACCACAAACTTCTGCCCCACATTCTAATAATGCATTTTTTTAAAACTATTCCAACCCTCTTCAACCCCCCCACTACTCATCTTTGCACTAGCCCACCTTTCTGCCAATAGTCGCTTATATCTCACCCGAAACTTCCTCCTCCCTTAGTTTATACACTTTCACCTCCCTCTTACTTGTTTGTTGCCACCTTCCTCTTTTCCATTTTACCTCTTACTCTAACTGTAGCTACAACTAAATAATGATCCGATATATCAGTTGCCCTCTATAAACATGTACATCCTGGAGCCTACCCATCAACCTTTTATCCACCCAAAACATAAACTAATAAACTACTTTCATTTTCGTGCTACATCATACCTTGTATATTTATTTATCCTCTTTTTCATAAAATATGTATTACTTATTACCAAATTTCTTTCTACACATAGCTCAATTAAAGGCCCCCCCATTTACTTTACCCCTGGCACCCCAAATTTACCTACTACTCCCTCCATAAATTTTTACCCACTTTAGCATTAAAATCCCCACCACCATTACTCTCACACTTGATTCAAAACTCCCCCCGCATTCACTCAACATTTCCCAAAATCTCTCTCTCCTCCTCTACACTTCTCTCTTCTCCAGGTGCATTTCACGGGTTTTATAACCCACTTTTCACATCCAATCTTTATTTTGCTCCAAAATAATCCTTGAATTATACATTTATAGTCCCTCTTTTCCTGCCATTGCTTATCCTTCAACATTATTGCTACTCCTTCTTTAGCTCTAACTCTATTTGAAACCCCTGACCTAATCCCATTTATTCCTCTCCACTGAAACTCTCCCACCCCCCTCAAACTTTGTTTCACTTAAAGCCAGGACATCCAGCTTTTTCTCATTCATAACATCCACAATCATCTCTTTCTTATCATCTGCACAACATTCCACGCACATTCAGACTTCCCCCTTTGACAATTTTCTTCTTCTTATTCTTTTTAGTAATCTTTACAGGAAAAGGGGTTACTAGCCCATTGTTCCCGGCATTTTAGTTGACTTTTACAACACGCATGGCTTACGGAGGAAAGATTCTTATTCCACTTCCCCATGGATATAAAAGGAAAATTAATAAGACCAAGAACTATTAAGATAAAATCAAAGAAAACTCAGATGAGTGTGTATAAATAAATGTGTACATGTATGTGTAGTGTGACCTAAGTGTAAGTGTCCCGGTGGCCTGGTGGCTAAGCTCCCGCTTCACACACGGAGGGCCCGGGTTCGATTCCCGGCGGGTGGAAACATTTCGACACGTTTCCTTACACCTGTTGTCCTGTTCACCTAGCAGCAAATAGGTACCTGGGTGTTAGTCGACTGGTGTGGGTCGCATCCTGGGGGACAAGATTAAGGACCCCAATGGAAATAAGTTAGATAGTCCTCGATGACGCACTGACTTTCTTGGGTTATCCTGGGTGGCTAACCCTCCGGGGTTAAAAATCCGAACGAAATCTTATCTTATCTTATCTTAAGTAGCAAGACATATATATATATATATATATATATTTATATATATATTATATATATATATATATATATATATATATATATATATATATATATATATATATATATATATATATTTATATATATATATATATAATTATATATATATATATATATATATAAATATATATATATAATATATATATATATATATATATATATAATATATATATATATATATATAATATATATATAATATATATATATATATAATAAAATATATATATATATATATATATATATATATATATATATATATATATATATATATATATATATATATATATATATATATAATATATATATATAAATATATATATATATATTATATATATAAAATATATATATATATATATATATATATATATATATATATATATATATATATATATGTATGAATCCTAGGTAGTAGGTTGGTAGACAGCAACCACCCAGGGAGGTACTACCGTCCCGCCAAGTGAGTGTAAAACAAAAGCCTGTAATTGTTTTACATGATGGAGGGATTGCTGGTGTCCATTTTTCTGTCTCATGAACATGCAAGATTTCAGGTACGTCTTGCTACTTCTACTTACACTTAGGTCACGCTTCACATACATGTACAAGCATATATATGTACACACTCCTCTGGGTTTTCTTCTATTTTCTTTCTAGTTCTTGTTCTTGTTTATTTCCTCTTACCTCCATGGGGAAGTGGAACAGAATTCTTCCTCCGTAAGCCATGCGTGTTGTAAGAGGTGACTAAAATGCCGGGAGCAAGGGGCTGGTAACCTCTTCTGGTGTATATAATCCTAAATGTAAAAGGAGAAACTTTCGTTTTTCCTTTTGGGCCACCCCGCCTCGGTGGGGTATGTAGACAGCCTGTACTGTCTGCACAGACAGCCCATGCTGTCTGCCAGCTTAGTTCATATTTCGCGCCACTCAGGTGCTGCCCTCTGTAGCCAGGCCTCTCGGTGGGCATGCCAGCCTGCCTGCCCTTGCCTCTGCCTCACTCACACAGCGGCCTAGCAGGAAGACACAAGTACTCCCAGCTCTCTCTCGTGGGATGGCCCTGCCGGGCCATGGGCACAAACACACAAGCCTGTGTACCCACCACGACTTAACAATAAACAAAGAAGCCTCCGAAGAAGTTTATCATTAACCATCCGCTACCAGAACCCCAAATAATCCTTTTTATAGATACGGCCGGTGTGCTGAAAAAAGAAAGATATGTATGAATGTATATATGTATGAATGTATTACTCTATGTATGAGATGTATGAATGTATGTATAAGGATACACATGTTCAAGGATACAGGTGTATGTGTGTCCATCACCACTGCCACCATCACCTCTGCCTATAACAACATAAGTAAATGTATCAGAAATACCTGAAATTATGAAATCAAAACTCTATACAGTGATGTTGTGAATATCAATTTCAGGAATGGTCTATATAAAAGAGCAAAGAGCATCTGCACATGTTAACTGCTCTATGAACCTTCATCTAGTAATGGTTGACCAGGGTTTAAAATGTGAATCTAATTTGGTAAGGCATTCTGAAGTTATAAATGAAAACCTTAAATGGTCTGAGGAAATTGTACACGACAGATGGAGGGCTCTTGCAATTTGCTATGAACAGTGTTTAAGAGTTCACTCAATTCATGAAATTTAAAAAATTACAATTTTTTTCAGTTTTCTATTTGCAGTTGCATTAGTTTTAAAATTCTCAACAACCCTATAAAAAACATTTGTTTTTTAAGTTGGAATTTTTATTAAAGTGGACTAACGATTCCAAATTTTAAAAAAAATATTTATTACACTTATAGGTAGTAGGTTGGTAGACAGCAACCGCCCAGGGAGGTACTACCGTCCTGCCAAGTGAGTGTAAAACGGAAACCTGTAATTGTTTTACATGATGGTAGGATTGCTGGTGTCTTTTTTCTGTCTCATAAACATGCAAGATTTCAGGTACGTCTTGTTACTTCTACTTACACTTAGGTCATACTACACATCCGTGTACAAGCGTATATATACACACTCCTCTGGGTTTTCTTCTATTTTCTTTCTAGTTCTTGTTCTTATTTATTTCCTCTTATCTCCATGGGAAAGTGGAACAGAATTCTTCCTCTGTAAGCCATGTGTGTTGTAAGAGGCGACTAAAATGCCAGGAGCAAGGGGCTAGTAACCCCTTCTCCTGTATAAATTACTAAATTTAAAAAGAGAAACTTTCGTTTTTCTTTTTGGGCCACCCTGCCTTGGTGGGATACGACCGGTGTGTTGAAAGAAAGAAAGAAAATTATACACACAGACTCAACTGAATGGGTACTATCCTGGCCATAATATGCATCAGCTATTAAATATTGAAGTCATTCAGAAGAGGCAGACAGACTCATATTTTAATTGTGATGACTAAATAGGAATCAAAATTTCATACAATTTTACTCATAAGTCAAATTTGCAAATATTCACTTAAATTTCTCCCTCCATCATCACTGAATCAAGATGCTCCCTTTTTTTGAACATCTGAGGCTATGCAACTTAGGGTTTTAGAAGTTATCTAAGTCATTCTAGGGTGATGGGAATGAATTCATTAACCTGCACATGCCAATTGTTCCAGTAATCAGGTCCTCATTATCATACACAAAAGTTCAAATTTTGAATCCTATTGGATGAGTTCTCAGGTTACGAGTGAAAGAAAATTGGAAAGATGGAGGAATGAAATAAAAAATAAATTCAGGCAACTATTTAAAGGTCTCCCTTTGGGGACACCTAATAAAGAAAATATGATTCTTTAAGCTAAAAGTTCCACTCAAAAAGTGTTTGCAATAGTATCCATCCAAAGATTAAATTTCAATTTTGTTCCTTACCAATTGAGAGGTTGCTGTGCATAGAATGAGAGTCTGAAGATACCATCATTAGTAGTGCTCCATCAGTACTGTCATCCCCTCCACCAACCAGAAGAGAAACCTGTATCAAAAATATACATTCATTATACAATATTAATGGAAATGGCACAAACAAACCCAGATGGAGAAAATAAAACATGAGGGGGAAAATACTGTATAATTTAGCCTAAGACTGAGGTCCTCTTCAGCATCCTGCAAGGTGCTGCACTGCAAGACTACTGTATACAGTAACACTTTTACCTTCCATTTTATTTTATCCATATGGGTTCCTTCATGCTATTTGACTTGTGTTGTTTTCAATTCTGTTTTGATTGAACAGAAATCCTTAACTACTGTGTAAAATTACATGAACAATCTTCATACTATTTCTCATAATCAAAGACGTCAGTAGTGTTGAAATTCAATCTACAGTCTTAGAATATTATGACTATTATACAATTATTGTCTAAAAGACATTAAAATCATGTAAATAAAATGAAAAGCAAATTGAAAATAGATTTTAACTGACCTGATCAGGCTGAGAGGGCAGCAAGTGCTGCGTCATTGTAGATTGGTGAGAAGGCCCTGGCACAGCAACATCTGTTTCTAACACCCTACTTGGCTCTGAAGATGCAAGGCTTAAACTGAGAGAGCTATTCAAAGAGTCTTCTGTTAACCTTTTAGGATCAAGCAATGACTGGTGACTAGTTGGTAAACTTTCAAAATTTCTTTGGTCAAGTCCTTCATCAACCAAATCATCTTTACCAATAGAGCCAGAGCTCAGGGCATTTTCACTTCCAACTGAACTATCATCATTCAGCTCAAGCACATATGACTGACTTAACTGATCCAGGTCCTGGCTACCTGCATTACCAGTCAAGCTATCATTATCAATGGTATTAGTTGCACTACTGGAGAGTGACACAAGAGGTTCTAACCCTCTTGATGCACTTCCTAGTCCTCTCGAGTCACTTTCTATTCTTCCTGAAGTGTCTCCTAATTCCCCAGATCCACCTGAATCACTCAAGTGATCTGTATCTGAAGCTGTGCTACAACCAGGCAAACCCGATGTGATATTTAGTAGTGGTAAACTACTGCCAAGAACTCCAGGATTAGTCATATTGTGTGTACTAGAGGTGGAAGGCTGATCTCTAGCTTGATCACCTTGTATGCTAACCTGTCTACTGGTGATCCGAGGTGTGCTGGGTCTTGGGATATCCAGAGGATCATTAAGATATGGCCCTGGATCAGGGGGTGGTGGAGTGTTAGGGGGAGAACGCTGCTCACCCACCACTCCAGATAAACTGGCATCTAAGGCATTGCTGGAGAAGTGAGAGAGAGAAAGAGAAAAATGCTCTATAAAACGATTAGCACTAGCTCTTCCACTTGTGAACATTCCCTGAGGACTGACAAGTAGTGCAACATCCTGACTGTCATCACTGTGTTGCAAACCAACTTCTGATGTTGATATTTCATCTCCATGCCCCATTACTGTTAGCTGCATCTGTTCTGTTGGTACTAGATTATCATCTGAATCATCATCAGATGTCTCCTCTTCTGGGTCCATGATTCCTCGACCACTGGTGGAATCAACAGTTGAATCAAGTATAGCAGCACTTACCAGACTTGGAGAGACTGGGCTGCTGGGACCAGACACATCATTGCCCTGAAACTCTGCAGGTGTTGGAGGTATAGAATCAATATGTCCTGTAGATGATGATACAATACAGTTATCTGTAGGTGTGCTGGGTGATCCTAAAGGAGACACATTACCCCTGACACTACTGCTGGCTTCACAACCAGATGCAGTGCCATTAAGTGCCTCTGCTTCTCCATCACTGAGCCGAACTAATCTATTTCTAATACCTGATGGACCAGGAGTTGAACTGAGCTGTGGTAAATTTTCTGAAACATCATTACTGTCATCAGCATCACTCTCTGAAGAATCTGATCTCTGATGTCGAGGAAGAACTTGATGGCTAGAGGGTACAGCTTGCAGAATACTTGGACTAGGTTGTGGCATAGCTACAAGGTTACTAGGGCCTGACCGAGAGATAGCCTGAATTCCACTAGAACAAGGTTGGAGTATAGCCTGAAGACCACTTGGACCAGGCTGAGGCATACTCTGTAGACCACTTGGACCAGGTCGAGACATACTCTGAAGACCACTAGGGCTGACTCTTGCCACAGTCTGAAGTCCACTAGAACCTGGTTGAGAAATACCACTGTCTACAATATTACTCAAAGCTAATCTCTTCTGTTTGGCCCATACACTTTCACCCAATGACGGACTTACAGTAACATCATCGTCATCGTCATCATCAACATCATCATCATCATCGTCATCATCATCATCATCATCATCGTCATCATCAATTACATCAGCTGAAGCCCACCTTGGTTGGGATCGTGATAAAACTGGTGGTGTTGCAAACAGACTGTTAGCAGGTACTAAGCTATTGCTTCTGCTTGCTGACACTCGTCCAACTGAGGAAGGTGGTAATCTGTGTGCATCAGAGACTGCGAGGCTTTCCGTAGCACTGGATATACTACTGCTTACACCAGCTGGTAGACTAGGAAGGGAACTAGCATTGGACAGATCTTCCATTGGAGAATCAGGATGTTCCAGTGATGCTTCTATTCCTGCTAAAGGACTGTTGTACGGTGGAGGTGGAGAATATCGAGCTGCTGATGACAGATTGGGGTCTAAGGGACTCACACGACGTTCACATTCTGCACTTGATGAAGGTTGTGGTGATAATCCTCCACTGAAGCCCCCACCTAGGCTTAAATATCCCACCTGTTGAATAAATGCAACGTTAAAATCAATCATTTAATGAAAATGTCTAAAAGAGCCAATTAAAAATTCATATTTTTCACTACACGACTTAAAACTATACTGCATTACGTAGAATGAAAGGGGGTAAAGCAGCTGGAACTGACGGAATCATGACAGAAATGTTAAAAGCAGGGGAGGATATAGTGTTGGAGTGGTTGGCATTTTTGTTTAATAAATGTATGAAAGAGGGGAAGGTACCTAGGGATTGACAGAGAGCATGAATAATCCCTTTATATAATGGGAAGGGGGACAAGAGAGATTGTAAAAATTATAGAGGAATAAGTTTACTGAGTATACCAGGAAAAGTGTACGGTAGGGTTATTATTGAAAGAATTAGAGGCAAGACAGAATGTAGAATTGCGGATGAGTAAGGAGGTTTTAGAGTGGGTTGGGGATGTGTAGATCAAGTGTTTACATTGAAGCATATATGTGAACAGTATTTAGATAAAGGTAGGGAAGTTTTTATTGCATTTATGGATTTAGAAAAGGCATATGATAGAGTGGATAGGGAAGCAATGTGGCAGATGTTACAAGTATATGGAATAGGTGGTAAGTTACTAAATGCTGTAAAGAGTTTTTATGAGGATAGTGAGGCTCAGGTGTGTAGAAGAGAGGGAGACTAGTCCCCAGTAAAAGTAGGTCTTAGACAGGGATGAGTAAAGTCACCATGGTTGTTTAATATATTTACAGATGGGGTTGTAAAAGAAGTAAATGCCAGGGTGTTCGGGAGAGGGGTGGGATTAAATTATGGGGAATCAAATACAAAATGGGAAGTGACACAGTTACTTTTTGCTGATGATACTGTGCTTATGGGAGATTCTAAAGAAAAACTGCAAAAGGTTAGTGGATGAATTTGGGAGTGTGTGTAAAGGTAGAAAGTTGAAAGTGAACATAGAAAAGAGTAAGGTGATGAGGGTATCAAATGATTTAGATAAAGAAAAATTGGAGGAGGAGTATGGAAGATGTGAATGTTTTCAGATATTTGGGAGTTGATGTGTCAGCGGATGGATTTATGAAGGATGAGGTTAATCATAGAATTGATGAAGGAAAAAAGGTGAGTGGTACATTGAGGTATATGTGGAGACAAAAAATGTTATCTATGGAGGCAAAGAAGGGAATGTATGAAAGTATAGTAGTACCAACACTCTTATATGGGTGTGAAGCTTGGGTTGTAAATGCAGCAGTGAGGAGGCGGTTGGAGGCAGTGGAGATGCCCTGTCTAAGGGCAATGTGTGGTGTAAATATTATGCAGAAAATTCGGAGTGTGGAAATTAGGAGAAGGTGTGGAGTTAATAAAAGTATTAGTCAGAGGGCTGAAGAGGGGTTGTTGAGGTGGTTTGGTCATTTTAGAGAGAATGGATCAAAGTAGAATGACATGAAGAGCGTATAAATCTGTAGGGGAAGGAAGACGGGGTAGGGGTCGTCCTCGAAAAGGTTGGAGGGAGGGGGTAAAGGAGGTTTTGTGGGTGAGAGGCTTGGACTTCCAGCAAGCGTGCATGAGCATGTTAGATAGGAGTGAATGGAGATGAATGGTATTTGGGACCTGATGAGCTGTTGGACTGAGAGCAGGGTAATATTTAGTGAAGGGATTCAGGGAAACCGGTTATTTTATATAGCCGGACTCGAGTTCTGGAAATGGGAAGTACAATGCCTGCACTTTAAAGGAGGGGTTTGGGATATTGGCAGTTTGGAGGGATATGTTGTGTATCTTTATACGTATATACTTCTAAACTGTTGTATTCTGAGTACCTCTGCAAAAACAGTGATTATGTGTGAGTGAGGTGAAAGTGCTGAATGATGATGAAAGTATTTTCTTTTTGGGGATTTTCTTTCTTTTTGGGTCACCCTGCCTCGGTGGGAGACGGCCGACTTGTTAAAAAAAAAAAAAAAAATTCTCAATCCATAGTACTCTTGCTATCTCTTCTATTTCAAAGCAGGGAGTATAACAAATACTTCAGCCAGTTCCATATGAAGAAGAAAATATACCTAAGTTTGGGTAAAGGACATGAAACTTATTGGCTTATCATTATCTTTGTTCTTCTCCTATTCTAGGATGACCCCTACCCTTCCCTCCCTCCCTCCACTACAGAGTTATACACCCTCCTAGTCATCCTATTGTGTTCCTTCCTCTTTAAATGACCAAACCACGTCCAGAACCCCTCCTCAGCCTTCTAAATAATACTTTTAGTAACTCCTCGTCTTTTATTTATTTCTCTTTTCCACTTGTATAGTTCAGTCAAATACCCCTATGATTGTACATCTTTCCATAGTGTATATTCAGTACATTCAGCCTGACTTTGTTAGAAAAATTCCTGATATACAACCATTTTATGTTATAACTTAGAATAGATGTCAAGTGAAAGAACCTATAAAGTATCTAGAAGATTTTTACAGCTTTTGATTTATCTTATTTAGCAAGATTGTTCTGTACCATATGTGTGTGGTAATCATTAATGAAATTTCAATTAAGAAGTCGCAATTACAAGTACTGTATAATCAAGATGAAAAGATACAGTAAATCAACATTGAATATACAGTAACAGTTAGGTCTTTCCTTCTCAATCATTAAACCAATTTACCTAAATACTTTTACTTATTTTAAAACAAGAGAATATTTATTTGGTTTGGTATACACTAAAGTTTAATGTATGTATTGTATATTTTCTGCACTAGGAAAAAAAAATTGTGAACAAGTATCAAAACATTTTGATACTTGTTCACTCCAATATGAATGGAGCAAATATGAAAATGAGTTACAGTTCTACTGATACACCTTTGATAAGTTTCAAATCTTACTATGTACTCTTGAAGCCCGGCCATGGGCCAGGTTCATTGTATAAAAGTTACTGAAGAGAAACAGACTAATAAGTCTGTTTCTCTTACTTCAATGCCACTGCAGTACAAGAAAATGTAAAATATTTACACAAGCACTAACCTGTTGCTGAAGCCGCCTATGATTCCAAAGTTCCCCATCATCTATGTCAACGGAGTCAGTCTCCTGTGATAACTGCCGTCCTACAGATGAAGGAATGGCAGTGTCTTGGTGAGTATTGCCTGCCATAGCTGCTCAAATTGCCAAACATATCTGCAGGATGAATGACCTTTTAAATATACAGCACATCTTATATTAATAAACTTTTAACTGTATTTAAACACTGTATTCTCTATTTAAATATTTGGGAGTGGATATTTGCAGGTGGGTTTGAGACAAGGTGACTTACAGTAGGTGGAATGTTGAGATGGAAAGAAAGATATTTATCAGTGAAGGCAAAAAAGGACACTCTGCAGATAATACTGATTTCAACACTTAAGATACTTTATTTCAGCATGATACAATGTTTGTACAAAGGTGAATTACATTTAGGTGTGCATACACAAAGCCCCTTAATATGCAGAGCATTTTGGGCAAACTTTTATACAAGTGTGAGAAATAATATTTTCAAGTCACTGAGAAAAGGCTAGAAGCAGTAGACATGTCATGTTTGAGATCACTGTGTGGTGTGAATATAACATTAGACATAGAATAAGTAGAATAGAAATTATTAGACAATGTGGTGAAACGGTATAACTCAATGAGTGTACAAGGGGGCTATCAAAACACAGTGGTCCCTTGATAATTGTCGGGCTCGATAGTAATCCTTTTCGGAAATCGTCGCTTTATTTTCGTCCAAACATTGGCTCGCAAATGGTTGGTTGACTCTCTAATCGTTGTTCGTCCTGGACGCATACTCATGGCTCTGAGCCGCCTCGGCCTCCCTTCCCAGCCAGTGTGCTATTGTTTACCAGTGAGCAACGGTCCCCTCACTTGTTCATACGAAACATTTCATAATATTCCATTCATTTTAGTGCTTGCAAGTGGTAAATAAGTTACCATGGCTCCAAAGAAAGCTCCTAGTGCCAAGCCTTAGGTAAAAAAGGTGAGAAATATGATTAAATTTAAGAAAAACATCATTGAACAATATGAAAGTGGAGTACGTGTGGCTGAACTGACCAGGATGTATAACAAACCCCATACAACCATATCTTCCATAGTGGCAAAGAAAAAGGAACTCAAGGAAGCTGTTGTTGCTTGGAGAAAATTGTGGCCAGATTGTGTCCACAAGAGGGATTTTGAAGGGTTTGTGGCTGACCCTGATGAGCCTATGTCAGTTGTGAAATCTATTGTGGTATTGGGGAGTTCCATGGGGTTGGATGTGAGTTTGGAGGATGTGGAAGAGTTGGTGGAGGACCACAACGAAGAGCTAACCACTGAGGAGCTGCAAGAGCTTCAGCAGGAACTGCAACAGATCACAGCTCAGAATCTTGCTGCAGAGGAGGAAGAGAGATGGAAGGTGCCTTCTTCAGAAATTAAGGAGATTTTTGAAATGTGGGGTAAGTTTTAAAGAGAAGCCAGAAACAGAGCTCTCTGGACACTTTTTTTTTGCGAGACAGGACTCCAGTGACTCTCAAGCTGGTCCTAGTGGCATTAAGAAACAGAAGAGAAATATGTAACCCCAGAAAAGGACTTGGTACCTGAGGTGTTGATGGAAGGGGATTCCCCTTCCAAACAATAACTAATCCAATCTCTCTCCTCCTCCAGTCTTCCATACACTAAGAAGAATCGCCAATAAAGGTAAGTGTTATGCTGTTAATATTTCATTCATCATGTCCCATTGTATTGTTTATGTACTACATCTATATTTCATGTAAAAAATTTTTTGTTTTAATACTTCTGGGTGTCAGGAACGGATTAATTGCATTTACATTATTTCTTATGGGGAAAATTGATTCGAAAATCGTCTATTTCGATAATCGTCACACTTCCAGGAACAGATTAACGACGATAAATGAGGGACCACTGTAATCTGGTCATGAAGCAAGTATGGAATAGATTAAATTGACCAAAAGGGTAGATGGAATTTGAAGAATAGGGGATGTCCGAGGAAAGCGTGGAGTAAGAGAGTCAAGGCTTCGAGTGGTAGGGCTCTTGCATTCAGCAGTCATATGGGAGCATGTTAAACCAGGAAGAGTAAAGACAAGTGGTTCTTGGGATATATGGAATATGAGTAGCGTAAAATTTCTGAAGAGATTCAGGAAACCAATTAGATAGACATGGGTTCAAAAAGTAGAGTGTAGTATCAGTACTATGAAGGATGAGTAGCTTATTGAGTTTGGTGTAACTATAGTTATGGTTTGTTCATGATATAAACCTAAATAAACATGATTCTGAGCAGCCCAACACAACTTTTGGTTTCAGTAACATCTGGCATGCCATTACAGATGCATTTATAATATACGTACATGCTTTACAAACAATCTGTATTTCAGCTTCAATCATCTCAACATATTGTAATTACATACGTATACAGTATAAGTTACATCTTATGATGACAATCTAGGATATATCACCTATAAAATGTACAGCACAGTATATACATTACTTATACAATATTTTTTTTTTCAACAAACCGGGCGTATCCCACCAAGGCAGGGCGGCCCAAAAAGAAAAACGAAAGCTTCTCTTTTTAAATTTAGTAATATATTATACAGTATGTGCTATATAAATTTAAGACTGATATGCATGTCTGAATGAAACAAAATGGTGACTTCACTGGATTTAAATTATTTTCAAAAACAATGTAGGAGCATTCAGGTCAGGTAGTCATTAAATGCTAATTTTATTAGATATTAATAATGGATTTACATTGATAGTATACAAATTTCAAATATGTTGTAAATTTTTTAAATGATGGATGATTTGCCTAATTAAAAACTAAGAACTTAAATTAACAATTATTATTATATTATTTTTTATTATTATAGGGAAGTGCTGAGTTCATAGGAGTCATATAAAACCTGGGGAATGAGAGGCAATGAGCTTCAGTCCAAAGAAGGAATTAGACAAATCCAATCCTTGGATCAAGAACCTCTTACTAGCTTCAAAGAGAGTATTAAGCTGATAAATGATAAGCATTCGTATAAACGATATAAACCTAGACATAGTTTTTTCTAGGCATTGTAAAATTTGCAAATGTGAGTATCAGCACAGGAGGACACCTTGAAGTATCAATTACAACCCAGACATGCAGTTATGTTAATGAATGCTCATCCTACCCAGCCACAACATAATGGATTATTATTATTATAATGGGGGAGCGCTAAACCCGTAGGATTATACAGCACATGTAGGGGGGGGATAGAAGGTATTCAGGTTCAATTCAGGGAACTGGAGCACAGATCAAATTCCCAGGATCAAGAGCCCCTCACCAGCATCAAGGAACCTCCCTTGAGGGGCCAACATAATGGAAATGAATAACATTAGCTTGGTTGACTGGGGTATTCTAGGTGAATATCTTAAATTATCAACATAGTGCTTATATTAAAGTATCTAGTGCAGCCACAATAGACATTTAACAGCAGTTTTATCAAATGTTTGGCTTAGTTTTCATTCAAGTTCAATACACATGCTTAAGTGCAAATAAACCCATTTTTTTAAATCAGGGTAGAATTAAACACATAGGGGTCATACAGAACCTGGGAAATTGGAGACAACTAGGCTTGATCCAAGGAAGAGGGAAAATAATTCCAATTCCTTGGTTCAAGAGATAGGGATAACCTGTCAGGTTACCCAACGTTAGAGCTCCATTAGTTATTAGTAATTTATAAGAATAACAATTATTTTCTCCTTGGAACCACTGTACAAATTTAGTTAATTATGGAGAACCGGTGATTATGTTTGGAGGCAATTTATTCCTGAAAATGTACTATCATGGACATTGTTGTGTGGTACAAATTAACGCCACTTAACCTAACGAAACCCAACCTTACTTCACCAGTGGTAGATATGGGACTGGTATGCCTTTACATTCATCTTTGTTTACCCCCCACTGTGACTGGTCAGTTAATTACTGCTGGCCAAATAAATAAATAAATAAAAAATAAATAAATAAAAAATAAATAAATAAGCGCTAAACCTACAAGGGCTATATAGCGAGCAGTGGTAGTACTGACACTTAATTGGTCCTCACCTGCTATACCTCCCAAAATAAATGCATTATTTTGGCTAATCTCTCCTAAAATAATTTCAACGAGAAATAATTTGTGCAGGGAAATAGAAGCACCAAAAAGCAATACGTGATTTCTCAGGACTGATCTTCATAGTAAACGGTTAAAAAATCTCCCGACATTACAGTAAGACACTCCGCCATGATATTTTTGACGACAGAAGTCACTGTGGGGATGACACGGGTGTCAGTGTCAGGAAGAATGGATTGAAGGATGAAAGGAGGAGGAGGAGGTGACATCCATCCATAACCATAGTCAGAAATTAACTGCCCAGACACAGGTATTTGGGTCAAGTCCATTTTGCCCTCGTCGGGGGGGACACCCTTCATCCCGGGGTAGCCATTTTGGACTATTATCGCTAAATTCTGTATGCTTGCACCAGAATGGCGTGCGGCGAGGCTCCCGCCGGGATGCAGCGTCTAGCTAGGGTATACTCACAGGCACAGCAAACCGTTGTGATGTTCCTCAATTGTGGTGGAAATAAACCAAGTTTACTTTCTCCCCTTTTTCGCAAGGTTGGACCGGTCTGACGTCACACGAGTACTGGAACCTTGCTCCTCTCACAACTATATCCATTTATTACATATTGCACCACATTTATAATAATAAATTTCATATGCAGCTATTCCCCATGAGCTGTAAATACTATTTATTTTACTTATTTAGATATCAAAAGTCGCTACACTCCTTGGCGCTTTGTATTACTTTTCCTTTCGTCAGTTTAATTTTAAGTCTTTAAAAAGTTACGTGCAATTATATTTTTATATTAAAGATAACAAAGTATTATCGTAAAAAGGCAAAACAAAAGACCTTATTTTGATATATTAATAGTATATATTTAATAAATGGCTCATTCTCTTCTCTAACGTTGACAAATATGTGTAAACAATAATATATCACTTTCACCAACATATCTTTTACAAAATGTTTATTTTCCTATTTTGTAAAAAAAAAAAAAAAAAAAAAAGAATGTTTACTGTTATCTGAAACGTGACAGACTATATCAGTGGTTTTATATACCGAGAAGTATGTTAATAAAACACAATATGCGGTTTATGGGATTTTATTGAGTAGACTTTCTGCCTCCAAGAACGTTTTCGGTTTCGCCCCGGGGGACGCCTCAATGCGTCTCAATAAACACAAAAACCACGTGGTTTGTGTTTTTAATTAACGTGAATAATACTGTTTTTTTCCTCCAGTGTTACAGTAACTGAGCAATTTTACATTTATAAAATGAAGTTTACTGAAGGTAGAGTATACTGCAAGATGGTATACTGAAGGTAGATGGTATACTGAAGGTAGATGGTATACTGAAGGTTGATGGTATACTGAAGGTAGATAATTACTGAAGGTTGATGGTATACTGGAAACAGAAGGTATACTGAAGGTAAATATATTGTAAACAGAAAGTATACCGACAGGAAGATATACTGAATGTAGATATACTGGAGGTAGATGGTATACTGGAAATAAAAGGTATACTGAAAGTAGAGGGCATACTGAAAATAAAGGGTATACCTGGAGAAGGTTTCGGGGGTCAATGCCCCAGCGGCCTGGTTCATGACCAGGCCTCACGGTGGATCAGGATCTGATCAACCAGGCTATGTTACTGCTGGTCGTTGTTGAATTAGTTTCTGTTCCCTCAGGTTCCAACTAAAATGATACATCCTCCACAACTCCTTCAGAGTACTAAACTTGTTCAACAATATTTTAATTTTTAGAATCCCTAGTCGGGCTTTTTATCTTCACTGGGAAAGGATGGAATAGCATTTTAGGATCCTCTGATGATCAAGCCTCGGGTCATGCGATTTTTCTTGACCCATGAGCAGTAATTTTTGTAACTAGATAGTGTTCATCATTAGGAACTGTCTATACTAGTATGAGATCAGGAGGGAGAAATAATGAGGCTTGGATGGGAGGAAAAATAACTTACAGAACTTGCGGAGGACGACCCATGGTGCGAGGACAGTTATTAAAGTGATGTAGGGAAGTAACTTAAGGTGTTGAGGATATATTATGTAATCATAACTAAGCGCTAAACCCACCAGGGTCATACAGCGCTGCACAGGGTCTTGAGGAATAGGTAGTATTTATTATAATCGTTAAACCTACCTGGAGGTGGAGGAGGCAAGTAGGAAGATGTTTCTGGGGAAGCACTAAACCCGTAGGGGGGTCACGCAACGCCTGAAGAATACCGGATAATCAGGTTTGATATTATTATCATAACTAAGTGCTAAACCCACAAGAGTTACAGCGCTGCTTCATGTTTGTAATGAAGGCAGAGCAAGAGTACATTTAATACTTCTTGAATCAGATCTCCGCATCAAGGGCACTCCGAAAGAAGGGTTATGAGGTGCTAATAATGGCATAATTTCTGCATATCTGGCGTCTCTGATCTGTGCAGGGTATGGCGAAGTTTTCTGCCTGGTTTCGAGTGTTGAACTTATCTCTCTTCCCTCTGTACTCCACTAACTTTATTCACTGTGAAATAGACAACTACATCATATCACCCGGCTATGCCAAATACCTCGTACTCGGGCACAGTCCGGTGATATTTTCTGGCCTCGTGAACATGAAAGATGGGAAATCTTACAAACCTCTATTCACATTTAAAATACACTTATCTTTACTCTCCAGTGTGTATGTTATTATTATTATTATAATCAAAAAAGAAGCGCCTAAGCACAAGGAACTATACAGCTCCATGTTGTATGTCAACAGGTTCTTTTGGACCGTAATATTTCCCCTCCCCTGTAATATTATAAACCCATAATGGTCATACAGCCTCTTCCCTTGATTATTATTATAATCAAAAAGAAGCGCTAAGCCACAAGGACTATACAGCCTCTTCCCTTGAGCCATTCCCGCCGTAGACGATCAATGCCTGGGCCGAGGGGCAGTTCCCCTTTTTCAGATCACTTAAAGGACAAAGAAGTGGAAATACTGTTTCTTTTGATACACTTTATACCAGTATACGGTCTAGGCGCGCTGACACACCCTGCTTTAACTGATATTCTCTTATTAACACACTCATTAACTGACACATATTCTAAATTCCTTTATTGAAATGCATGAAAAATAATTTTAACCACTAATAATACATGAAATTTAATTTCACTATAATGTTACTGATTAAGTATAGAACCCTCGCCTGTGAAGGAAAGGCACACGTTTCCAGGCCAATGTTTCATTGGAAGACTTTTTTGACTGTACTTAGAGCGTCATCAATCATGCCTTAAATGTGACAAGCTCTACACAAATGCAGCACGTTGATCCCAATAACATTTGCACTGCAAACAATACTTTTTCTTCACCATTATCACAGTACCACATTAAGATCCATCTTCGGCAGCTATCTTTCTGTCTTAGATGTAAATATGAACAATGCCTCAAAGAGTGTTCTTGTGTGGCCTGGAAGGATGGCTTGGGGTTACCAGACTCAAGGATGAACTTCTCACACTCCTCCAGGTAAATGTTCCTGATGCTATCTTTGCACCCGTCCCTAAGCCCCAGACAAATAACGATTCTGAAAACACAAAACCTATAAATATATATATATATATATATATATCTATATATATATATATATATATATATAAATATATATCTATATAATATATATATCTAAGTATATAATAAATATATAATATATAAATATATATAAATATATATATAAATATATATATATATATACATATATATATATAATATATTATAAATTTTATATATATATATATATGTATAAAATAATATATCTTATATATATATTAAAATATATATATATATATATATAAATATATAAATATAAGGCCGAATGTAAGTGTGGTAATATAATAATTGCTTTACATGAGTAAATAAACACCTGAAAACTCGTCCCACAAATAAAACAGTCAAATATAGTTTGGTTAAATTAAATTATATTACGTAAATTTTTAGCAGGTTACTAGGAAAGTTTTGATTTAAAATAAATTTAGTTAACCGATTTAGTCTGGAGAGGCAGCAACTCTGTCCCCGTGGCCTGGTTACAGACCGGGCCACGGGGGCGTTGATCCCCGAAATCCTCTCCAGGTATATTTCAGGTGATATTAAATCAACAGAACCAAATGGTACACCATTTTTCAAGTGTGACTTACATTGAGGGACTTCTTCAAGATGCCATCAGAAATGATCTTTGCAGCGTTTTTAAGTCCTCGTGCAAAGGTGTCCATAGCAGCAATGTGTGCGATGAAGAGGTCCTTCGGTTCTGTGGACTCACGACGAACCTTGGCGTCAAAGTTGAGGCCGCCGGGAGCAACACCACCCTGCATGTCAGGACACTGTTAATATTTGTGGATGCTCGATCCTCTGTTCGCTAATCAGCAGTCACGTTACCCCAGTGTAGAATAAATAACTATACTGTATTGATCACACTGTTCATATTTGTTAGTCTGCCTCTGTATTTCATATGAAATCCAATGAGTTAGGTCGACTTGTTGTGGGTCGCTCCTGGGGATGGTCAGATTACCTACATGCTAGGAACTCAAATGTCTCTCAAATTGACCTAATGTCTTCAGCCCCGAGGAGAGATAAAAAACTGCCGTTTGAACTGTTTCGAATTCAAAACGCATCAAAATTAAACCTTCACATATTACCCCGGCCCATATTGTAATATATTAACACGGGGTTCGTAAATATTTACGATAAGACAATGGAAGAGCATAACAAGGTCTAATCTACCTGCTCCACCACTGTCTTCATGACCATGGTACAGCTGCGAATGTCCATTGGGAACTGGTCAGTGTCCCATCCCAGGTCTGGAGAGCCAGTGTTGGCATCAATGCTGCCGAGCATGCCATACCTGAAACAAATTAAAGATTTTTGTTAATGGTACCGTAAACCATCGCCCCCACGGCCCGCTCTAGTACCAGGACTCATATATAAAAAAGAAAATATCAGAAGACTGAAAACTAATAAGGAAAAAATGCATACTAAACAAAAGTAAAAATTCATAAGTTTTACATGCCATGTTAAATGTTCATGAGATAGTGCATAAATACCGAGATGAAAGAAACTCAGTGTACATACATTGAGAAGTGTACCTTCTCGGCGCCCGTGCACTGAGAGGTGTGCGTCCTCAGTGTATGATTCAGAGTAAGGGAGAATGACCATTAATCCATAATTTAGTCAAAAATAACATTGCTGATTATTAGAGTACAGATGCAACTGTTGTCTTAATGATGACCCCATAAGCAACTAAAGACCAGTAGTGAAATAACGCTTGAAGCGAAGATAATATCAAGATCATAAGGATGACACTAGAGTGGTGTGGTTGGGACTCTAAATGTTCCGCTGAAATGTTGGTGAGACCAAACTGTTGCGGAAGGACATTACTGTCTGAGCGTCATAGTCGACGGTGACGGGAATGGCTCCTTCGTTTAGCTCAATCAGCAGTTGACCTTTGAAGCCAATCTTCTCCTTGTAGCTAAACAGAAATATAGTGAAGATATATATAAATAAAAGATATATATATATAAATATATATTTATATATATATATATATATACATATATATATATATATATATATATTCAAATTTTCAACAAAGTCGGCCGTCTCCCCACCGAGGCAGGGTGACCCAAAAAGGAAGAAAACCCCATAAAAAGAAAATACTTTCATCATCATCTCAACACTAGCTCACCACACTTCGCACGTTATCCTGTATTTAGCAGAGTGCACATAATACAACAGTTTTAGAAAGCATATACATATAAATATACACAACCTATCCTCCAAACTCCAAATATCCCAAACCCCTCCTTTAAAGTGCAGGCCATTGTACTTTCCCATTTCCAGGACTGCCACTCTCCGACTATATGAAAAAAACGCGGTTTCCCTGAATCCTTCACTAAATTAATTACCCTGCTCCACATCTCCAACAGATCGTCAATGTCCTCAAGTACCATTACGTCTCCATTCACTCCTAACACTTTTCACGCACGCTCTGGTAGTCCAAGCCCCTTGCCCACAAACCTCCTTTCCGCCCTTCTCTCCAACCCTTTCGAGGACGACCCCTACCCCCCTTCCTCCCCAATAGATTATATGCTTTCCATGTATCAACTTTGATCCATTATATATATATAATATATATATTATATATATATATATATAATATATAAATATATATATATATCAAGCCATACAACGGTTGGATTCGAAACCCCACGTCGAGAGAGTCCATCGCAAAAACTCCAGATCCGTGTCTTGGATCGTAGGCCACTGACCACTACCACAAAAGTTTTGAGACTCAAACCGCGGTCTTCAAATCCCGCCCGTGGTATGGTTTGTTTGGGGTAATTCGTGTCATTTACGATTTTTCGTGAGTCATATAATATATATATAATTTAAAAAAACATATATAAATATATATAATAAAAATATATATATATATAAAGTAAATATAATATATAAAATATATATATATATATAATATGATCATAAATATATTAAAATAACAGAACAAAGAAAAAAATAAGTGCAGTAACACTATAAAAGATAATAGGATTAAATATCGTTTACAAAAGTTAACGACTCTCCTTGACAACCAAACCTTCTAATACACTAAGTTAAAACATTAACAAACCGATTTCAAGCGGTAATAACGACGGGAACCACACGGGAAATACGTCCCACTCTTGTGACTGAGTTTTAAGCCAACGTTTAAATTTTCTTTCCACCAAATTTTTCACCTACAACATTTGCATGCTTTCAAAACCAAATTTAATTTATATTTACTATGGCCTGTGAAAATCATTGTGAGCTCTCCTGAAACAACAAGTATCTTCCCACTGGAAACAAAACTCATGTTCTAATACCAATAACCATCTTGTAGAAGGCAGCCAGGTGGTCGAGATCAGCCTTAATATCTGTGCTGAGGAGGGAGTGGTAGCCCTCTCTGCCGCCCCAGAACACGAAGTTTTCAGCTCCAAGCTTCTTGGCCACCTCCAGACCTTTTTTTACTTGCGCAGCAGCATAGGCAGCTCCGTGGGCATCACTGCTATCCCCGCCGGCCCTCAATGCATGTTACCTTTGTGCAAATGAAGCAAATTCAAACTTTATTCTCTATAAGGATTACAATGTTGAGTTTATAGAATTTGGTTATTGTGTGGTTTACATGTAGTAAAATAATGATTACAGAGTGTACCACTAGAACACCTAGCATGGCTAGGCATTTCGGGCAGACTTAGTTTAATTCTTAATTTTAAAAAATTACAAATTATGAGGTAAAGTTGGTATTATGGCTAAGTGACTAAATACTAGTTGAGAGTTAGCAATTTGAAATGATTTTTTGTTTTGGCAGAAAGGGGAGGGGGGGGGGGGTGGGGGGCAGTACATACATTCAGTATTGGAGTATCACAGGATCATTATTTTAATATGAGATTAATATATCTGTTTATGTGTCAAATGGGTGAGTGAGTGTGTGAACACCAGGTTGTATTTCGTGTATTAGTTACGGGTGCATCGGGAGATAAGAATGTTTGTCTAAATGGTATTTTTGAGGTGATGAATGTGTCTGCAGTTCTAGATTCTCATGAGGGTGTTTTTCAGAATTTCTAGGGCCTTTGACATACATTGAATTTTTGTAAAGGTTTAGTCGGACAGGGAAGTCGTAGAGATGTATTGAGTCCTGGTGAGTTATGCCTGTGGGATCTGTCACAACTATCAAGAAAGCGTTTTTAGGTCAAAGGTTTATTGAAAAAATATTGGAGTTTAAGGCCTGTAGATGATGTTGATTGCCCAGTAGTGTGTATGTACGAACAGGGGAGTAAGTTTAGATCTATGAAGAGTGGGGGGTGTGTTCCAGGGATGGGGATTAGAGTGATTATTCTTACTAGCAGCTTTTTTTGTAGGGTTATTATTGGCTCTCGGTGTGTTACTGCATTTGATCCCCAAGTCACAAATACATAGGTGAGGTATGATAAATAAGTGAAGTGGTATAGTGGTGAAAGGGCATTTTGTGGCACTAAAAAAAAAAGAATCGTATCTTGGAGAGGATCCCCAACTGTTTATGGATACTTTTTTTGGTTATGTGTTTGGATATGGGTGCTGAAATTCAGGTAGTTTGTCAAGGTATAGGCCAAGGAATTTGCCCTCATTATGTCTGGTAATTAAGTGTTGTCAATCTTACTGTTTAAAATTGTGGATGTCGCTCTGCAACCAAACATAATATAGCTAGGTTTTGTCAGTGTAAGCGTAAGTTTTGTGTTGGTGGCTGTCATCCAGTCATATTTTTGATCAGCTCCTCGTTAAAACAATGGTGTTGAAGGGTGGCAAGATCAGGTGAGAGAATGCCAAAAGTCGTGTACTGTCAGCAAAGAGAATGGTTTCAGGTGTTGGGATACGTTTGGAAGATCATTGATGTATATGAGGAAGAGCAGGGGACCAAGGACACTTCCCTGCGGAACTCCAAAGCTCTGTAACCTTTCACTGTAAGATATACCGTGTTAAAAAATTTTCTGATATATATATAAGGCTTTATATACACAGTATAACGTAAATAGGCTCACTTCAAGACAGACTCAACTAATGACTCATCTTCCAGGGGAAAAAGTTGGCTCAAATTACACAAATTTTAATATGCATTATTTTTTATTTTGCATCGAAACTAAGCTGGCAGCCTTATCGAATTTTGTTCAAATTTATATCATATAAAGTAACTCGATTTACCCAGCCTGTCTAAGAATTTCCACATTATCATTGCTACTATAAGCTTCATGGGGAAGCGCTAAAAAAAAAAACAAGGCATCAACACCGTATGAGTGATGCAGTGGCTGCAGGAAGTACCTTGGGTGAGCAAAGAGATTGCAAGTGGCCCAGAGCAGTTTGACACCAGTCTTCTTCTGCAGTTCAGCAGCTAGCTCCACCAGCTGGTCCAGGAAGGTGTTGGTCTCAGCCAATGTCTCACCCTCGGGAGCGATATCACGGTCATGGAATGTCCAATACTTGTTGCCTACATGAGAATGTGGTATTCGTGTATTAATAATTCAGTGAGAAATTAAATAACCTATTTTCCTAGTTTTAAAAAGCAGTTATTATTATTAATGTTGATCGTCCAATGTTACTAAAACATTTTCTCTAAGGAGAGGTACTGTAAAGGGTTAGGACAATTTTAACAAAGATATTTGTCTAAATTCATGTTGTTGGGGCAGGCTTTTTGGCGTCGTCATTAACTGCTTGATACACTACACATCTTAACTATCTCGAGTGTAACTCTGCCAGATGTCTGGAAATTTTCTGAAAGGCATTGTAATGGGTGTCCAGGGAAGATCAACCCATACCGTCCTATGCCATATATCTAAATTATTATTATTATTATTGTCAAAAAAATTGCGTAATCACTTCATTGTTCACAGCTTATTCATTCTTAATGTTGTATATTATTATTGCTACATTCTTGGGGGAACGCCAAACCTGTGACGATCATACTGCTCATGGGAAATAGGAATAAGGTTTGTTCCGAGGAGTGGATGGGTTGCTATAATTCTTTGTATCAAGTCCTTCACCCACATCAAGACAAGAAGGGTGAAGTCTGTAAAATGTCTTACGCCTGATACCGTTAGTCTCGCCCATTTAAATCTTTCCTAGCATGTGCTGTATGATAAGATTTCGTTCGTATTTTTAACCCCGGAGGGTTAGCCACCCAGGATAACCCAAGAAAGTCAGTGCGTTATCGAGGACTGTCTAACTTATTTCCATTGGGGTCCTTAATCTTGTCCCCCAGGATGCGACCCACACCAGTCGACTAACACCCAGGTACCTATTTGCTGCTAGGTGAACAGGACAACAGGTGTAAGGAAACGTGTCGAAATGTTTCCACCCGCCGGGAATCGAATCCGGGCTCTCCGTGTGTGAAGCGGGAGCTTTAGCCACCAGGCCACCCATATGCCTGATATTATTAATTTAAACTGCTTGGAAGTATTGAAACATATCTTGCATAAATATTATGCAGCTTACCCAGTGGTGGTATTTTATTTGTCATTAGAAATAAGAAAATTTCTCCTGACTCCGGTGTTAGTCATGTGATGACGTACTAAATGGAGCTTTTAATCATATATCCGAGACC